CTTTAACCGTTTGGTGGTGCCTCAGCGACATTTTGAGAATCTAGGATTGATGGCTCCCCGAGGTAACATTCGTGATCTGTGTTTAAACCGTATTGATGTTGCATTGTTTCTGACCTCGCTATTTTCGACTTGTAGGTGACTTTGAGAAGAGGAAGGTCCCCACCCCTGACATGGCCACGATTTTGGCCGCCACTTCGACAGCTGGCCGTAAAGGCATGAAACCTTCATCCGCTGGAGGGAAGCGGGTGAACTAGGCCATTGAGAGGGTGAGCAAGGAAGTTGCCCCTCAGGAGGGTGGTCAACCTCCTATAGCCGACAGGGGGAAAAAGGCAGTTGTTGAGGAGCCCAAGAAGAAGTTCTGGGTATCTGCCACCAGTTGTTGAGGTTTCTAAATTTGGCTGAAGCAAGAAGAGAAATTGTCTTTGCCCTGAAGTTTCATAGAGAAAGTATGTAAAAAGCCCAAGAAATGAAAAATCAGCCATTAATAGATTCTTCTCAAGAAATTTGTGTAGGAATTGAGGCTAAATTGAAACCTAAGAGAGATCCACCCACACCATCGGCACCACCTATCGCTGGCACCACTAGAAAAACTTATCAAAATTTCCACCACGATTATCAAACGCATCAAAAAACTCCAAAATTCTTCCGTCAAGATTTCCACAACCCAACCACTCGTCATCATCATCTCCAATTTCCAATCCAATTTCTGAAACCGAACAAAAAAGTGAAATTGATTGGCAATCTTCTAGCAATTAGTTCATCCATCGCAACCTGCAACTCTTCCCACATCTCAATAGCCCTTCACCCACAAAATTTCAAACTATTAGTGACCAAACTCTCGAAAAGTCAGATGAAATTGAAGAAAATAAGATGGGATGTGTTATGTTTCGTCACTTAGGTTCCCACGTGGTCTAGCCAACCCATCGAAGCTCATATATAAAAAGACAAATCTGAGGCCCAAAAGAAGTGGCTTTGCCGAAGTGGCAAAGCCCAATGAAGAGAAATCTGAGGCTCAACTATGGCTGGTTCCCACGTGGTCTAGTCGACCCATCGAAGCACCATCTGCCAAGCCATGTAGCGTCCAACGTGGAGCTAAGTCTTCTAGAGTTCAGACAACCTGACCCACTGAAGTTCATTTATAAAAAGATAAGTCTGAGGCCCAACAGAAGGCCCACTACTGCCGAAGCATCAACTAGGGTAGACGAGGCCCTGGGATAATTTATGAGGCCCGTTACTAATTCGAGGTGGCTGAGTATCAGATCCGAGGCTCCAGCTAGTGACGGCCCACGTGCAGAGATCCTGAATTTATTATATAAATCTTATTTGAATTATTGATGTGACTTTTGTAAAAAGTGTATTTGTGTCTTGTCTTGTCAATAGGATGTAAGGGCATTAAATGCTTTGTAAAGTTAGGAAAGTCAACATGACGGCTAGGATTTGATGCTTTGGCCAAAGGGATGAGCCCACGTGTAATTTCATCTAAGGGTCATCATTCCATTTGTAACACTATAAATACCCCCACCATGTAACAATTTAAGACTAATGTAACTTTAGATACTTGGAGCAACTTGTTTTATTCTCTTATATTGATTCACAATCTTTAATCTGAGTTTATAGCGATTGGTTATTATTATACAATTGTATCTCGGATATCTGGTCGGAAATCGAACGAAAACGTCTCGTCGTTGAACTTCTCCCACATCCATTTTTGGAGTGATCTCGACCGTTGATCGACCTTTACGTGTTGGATCTAGTTTACGCATGCACGAGTAGATCTGACATCTGTTGGCAGCATATTTTGAGGTCAACAGGATGTGAATGATTTTTTACCAACTTCTGATGAGGAGATCTTTAATGGGCACGTGAATCTATGTGGGAGATCAGAGATAGAGAGAGGAAAAGTGCGAAATGATCTTTTTTAGGAGCTTTGGCCGACGTTAATGGGCTAGGATGAGGAGCTTTTGGGCGGTGATGCTACTTGTTTTTGTGTTTGGTTTTGGGGTGGGAGTGGGGGTTTTGGTTTGGTTTTTTGTTTTGTCGTTTTTTGATTTAATTATTATTGTTATAATTATATTTTGTATTAAAATGATACAATTGCTACTTTACCCTTTTAAAAATTGGGCAAAGTTTACTATTATGGTCAATTAATGGTCAGATGGTCCATCTATTTGGACTTCAAGTGTGAATCCCTAAAATGTTTGGTACTATAGATGACACAAAATAAAAGGTTTGGGACAATTCTGCAACAAAGTGAAAATGTTAGCACTGTGGTTGCAATTCTCCATGTATTTTAGAATATGATTTTTTTTTCAAAAAAAATGTGTGATTAAAAAATAATGAAAAATTGTAGATTTATGTGTAATAATATTTTATTGGAGAATGCGTCTTTGAAAAGAAGAGAGATAAAAATTTATTTATAGCCCTTGTTTGAGTCCCATTTTTTGAGATTAATAAATTTTGGAATAGTGATTTCTTGGAGAATGTGTTGTCAAAAAGTAAAGAAAAATTTTGAATTTACGTGCAAAATATTTTATTGTGTGATTAAAAATGAATTTTGAAAGAAATGAGTTTTGGGGAAATGGGGATCAATAAATGGAGCCCAAGGAGGGGCTAAGTGTATAAAGAAGTTAAACTCAATCCAATCATGTGAAGTCGTAGACGTTTTGGATAAGAGACAACCCTCCCATATTATTGTTAGTCATCGAATCACTAGGTTTGGTGGACTGCAAATATTGCAAAATATAGATTGTTGAAGGATAAAAATATATGTACAGGGCCACA